TTTTAGTGTATCATAGTATTTTACCATAGATAACTGAAAAGTTTATAGAAGGACAAGGAAATTACTTTTAAGGGTTGTTGGGTACCATTTTATCTATCAAAGGGAGGTTATCTTAACTAAATTCTAGGAAGCTAGGGAAAGAAAACTAGATATCTAAAGCTATTTAAAACTACTTTAAAAGAATGACTAATTTGAAATAACAGTGTTTCTTTTTAACCCACGCACTCTCTTTCTGCAGTGGTACAGAAATAGGCAAATTAAAGAATTTTTCAGATTTTTTTCTCTCCTTCTGTTTACCAATGTTATCTTATGTGTCTGCTATAGGATTATGTGTTTAAAAGAAGAGATTGTTAGTACTTTAAATTACAACAGTTATTACATATTTACTTAAAACTGGTTTAAGAACAAATTAATCCTGTGCAAAGCTTTCACAGAGGTCTCCTCACTGATAATTTTGAAGTCTCACTGTTGCAGAAGCAGAGTTGGGGTAGAGGATTGCCTGTTTTATTTATCATCTTTTAGTCTTCTGTTTTGTACTTGGTGTTGTTAACTTGACTGAAATGAGAAGAATGGGCAGAACTTAGATGAACTTGTTGAGGGCTCTTCAGAAATATGAGAGCGTGGGTGCGTCTATACATAAATTAATGTGATGCAATAAATGCCAGTGCATATTGTGCCAGAGTTTATTGCTCCCAGGTGCCATATTTACATGTGTGCCCAGGACCACAGCCTGTTGAGCTAGGTTGGAGCAACCCTGACTCTCAAGGGAGCCGGGGCATCAGCCTGCTAACCAGGGGCTGCTCCTTCCTGGCTCAGCGTGCTGCAGAGGGGATGGCCAGGGCATGAGAATGCTCCAGTGCAGGGCTATCCTTCAGAAAGTCCCCACACTGAAGCACCCTCATGCCCCAGCCAGCCCCACCAACATTTACACATGTTGCTGTGCATTAAAGAATGCTGCCGTAGAATAATAGCTAGTACTATTATTGTGTTAGCTACTTCTAACCTATGTTGGAGTTATACTGTGGCCTAATAAGGCCTCACATATAGATACTGAGACTTTACTGTGGAGCTAATTAGGCAACGACAGTAAACATCTTGTGTAGATGAGCCCAGCAAACATTTCAGTTAAGAAGCTTGTATGTTCCTTTTTATAAATATGCTGAGAGTGGAAAACACACCTCTGTCGAGGATTTAGCTGAATATGAGATATGGCCTATACTGGCTCAAAATCTTTATAGATTGACCTTGGTAGCATCTCTTGGTCACATATGCAATTTCTTAATGCATGTGGCAAGGCTGTAGTTCAACATTATTGTTTTTCTCTTTGTGTTACAAATTTTTCAGAGCAAATTTAATGGTAAAGTTTTAAACCTTTGCCCATTATTTCGTTCATATTCTGAGACATCCATTCATCTTCATGAGGTTTTGTTAGCACTTACTGGCACGGCACGTGGTCCACCTGACAAAATCAAGTTCTTGTTCTTTAAAATGGAAGTGCTAGAGCTTCTTAGCAAGAGTTATGATCAGTAAAAACAGCAAGAATATTGTTTAATGCAGGGAAACCACATCATTTTCCACAGTTTTGTTATCAGAAATTTTAGAATAATTTTAGCTGACCTTTAAAAAAAAAAAAAAAAAAAAGCCTGAGGCAGACTCATGACTTAAAAACATTCAGCCCCAACTGACGAAGTTTGGAAAAGTTATAAACAGCTGAAAGCTTTATACTGGAAAATATAAGACAGCTTTTGATTATAAGTGGTACTACCAGCTCTACCTATAATGCTACTGTAATATAATAATGTGACTCTATGAAATAAAAGAAGGAGAGAATTGGCTGAGTGGAGAGAGCTGGAAGAGAAGAACCACCTTTACTATGCTAGTCTATTCTGTAAGTACAGAATAGTATTTTGTTTTTATAAATCTCTCTTTTTTCAGTCTTCTTGTCATGGAATTATGTGAAAGCATTTTGGAAAATAATGTCATCTGACAAATATTAAAGGTGGATGAAAACAAGACATTGAGTGATAGAATATTTGATAGGACTGCCATTTTTACACAGGAATTTGGGATCAATGCCTGATTGTACACAAAACAATCAGGGGCTATCTACTCAGCTGGTATAAATCTATGTAGTGACTGGAAATCAAGGATTTTCTTCTTTGGAGCTTCCATCATCAGAACCCATTACTCTGGTCCTTGTTATTGTTAATAATAATAATTTATTACGTCTTGAACTCCTGGAAGAGATTAGGGCCATACTGTGCTAGACATTATACAAACAGCTAATGAGTCAGTCCCCTACTGCAAGCTGCATGTAATTGAGGAAGGGAGAAAAATTGTGGGAGAAAGAAAAGAAATGATCTTATTTTCCAGTCAGGGAACTCAGCCACAGAGTCATTAGCCTGCTCAACCTCAGGCCAGAAAATGAGAATCAAAGTTGCATCTCCTGAATCTCTGGTTTTTGAGGTAGTGACCTCAAATCCATGTGTGGTCTCCTCTTTTGAGTTGCTTTTGATTACTATGTATTTGGTATCACTTTCACATTTGCAACATTTACAGACATGGCATCTGTGCTGGCTGCAGTTGTGCTAGGCCAGCAGTCTTGGAAATGGACTTAGATGGATAGTCCCAAAATGTCTGAGATTAAGATCAAAATTCTGCAGTTTGCCAACTCAGGTTGAGCCATGTGTTCTTCCTGATTTTGGCATTTATTCAACAGCTCTGCTTATAAGAACATATATTTCAAGTTAATGCGTTAAATACAGAGAGGAGGAGATGCCCCAGTAACATTTGTGTCACTAATAACGGGTGTTCAAAGTGAATAACAGCTCAAAGGAGACTATTTTTCCCTTGAGTCCTTCTCTTGTCCTAATATACTTCACGGTTTCAGATAACAAGAAGAATTAGCAAGAATGACATTAGAGGTTAAAGTATTAAAAATCCAAAAGGAAGGAGCAAAGAAATTAGGAAGACAAATGATGTTGAGTCTTTGATTCAGTGCAATATGCTTGCAATAATCCCCTTTTTCTTTATTATAGGTACACAAGCCTGTACACTGTGGCCCAGCCCTACAGCTAGAAGCAGCATTTGAAAAAACCTTTGACTTGGCTTTTTTTTTAACACTACTACTACTTCTCTTGTTAACACTGACAAATAACATACTTCAGGACAACAATTTTGATTGTATTGATTTGCTGGTAATGGTGTCAGCATTAGATACTGCTCAGGGTATGAGTCATGATGAGGTTTCACACCATAACTTCAGGCTGACCTTTTATGCACCTTTTAAAAAAATCTTTCAGGCTATTTGGGCCTTGTGACTTGGCAACTTTGGGCAACTCCTGGAGACCTTAACCCCTTGATTGTCCTCACATTAACATCTTAAAGTGATGTTAGCACTTGTCCTCACATTGACATCTTAAAGTGATGTTTTAAGCACTTGAGTTTACACCACTCTAGGGCAGGATTATCTCTCATCTGCAGTACCCAGCTCCTGTTCCATTAAGCCAGGATGGGTAAAGTCTAGCCTGCAAGCTGGATAGGGTCTGTGGCTGACTCCATTTCCCAGCAGCCCCTGCTCACATTGCTGTGGCTGGTTTCCATGGAGACACCATTAGTGGCAGTGCCAATGACAGGCAGGACCAGGGTTTCCATGGAGACCAGCCCCAGCAGAGCTGGGTGGGGAGCTTCTTCAGGCCCAGGGCTGGGATCTGGCAGCAGTGGCAGTGTGGACCAGAGATGGCAAAGAGCAGAGATCTGCTGTCTGCACATGCTGGATCTGGGAGGGGGAGAGGAAGTGCTGGCATCTGCAGTGAATGGATTGCAGCTGTGCCTCAGTGCTGGACCATGCTGTCACCACTGCAAGATCCCAGTCTGGCCCTGGAGCAGTTTCCCACCCAGCTGTGCACCCTGCCAGTGCAGCTGGGGCTAGTCTCCATGGAAACACTGGTCCTGCACTGTCATGGTGCTGCTGCTACTGGGGTCTCCACAGAAACCAGCCATAGCAATGTGAGCAGGGGCTGTTGGGAAATGGAGTCCAGCTGCCGACAGGATGTGCCATTTTGTGACCATCCTCCACAGTTGCCACCCAAGTTGAAATCTTTCAGTATGACAGGATCTCTCTCATCTCTCCCTATACAGTGGGGATAGAAGCCTGTCCTGGCTCACCAGCTCTCTAGTGGAAACTTTCAGCTACAGCTCCTAGTCCTGCCCGTGGTCAGCAAGTCACAGCTGTGCAGATGGGGAACAGTAAGAGAAGGTTTCTAGACTAATGGTGTCACTGCTCCAAACTCCAAGCTAGCACTAACACCGATCAGCATTTGTGTGACTCACAGTGTAAGGTGTAACAAAGCCTGTTAGCATTTACAGAGAAAAAATATGCATAGCTGGCTGTGATTGTTTGGCAAATTCCATTCATGTAATATGGCACTAGATCTTCATTTATACTATGACCCAGGGCATTGGTAGAATACTGTAAAAGGACTTTTATGCAAGTTGAATAAGAAATATTAAGACCTGATGCTTATCTATATTAAGGGTCTGATCTGGCACCTACTGACACCAGTGGCAAAGCTCCCAATGATTTCAGCAGTTTCAAGACCAGGTAGATAGATATTCCACGGCATGGTACCAGTTTAACCTTGATGGAATGCCAATGAGCAGATAGAGAACAGCAGAAAGCAGAAGCAAGATGGTGGGGAGCCATGTCTAGTGGTTTCATGCCAAGACAAAATGAGTGTGAAGTGAGAAGAGGCACCACTAGAGGCTTTTGTCCCCTGCAAGATACCCATTAACAATGGTATGTGATGCCTCACCATGAGCTACTGATAGCTTCCAACAATCTATAGTTCCCTCTGATGACTGAGTGGATTTCCGACGCCCACAATTTTAAGGAACAAATTGGAAGTGCAAGGATAAGGCAATCACAGGGGTTTCTTATATTTTTCTGAAGGGAAAAGCTGTAGACTAAACGAATAACAAATAACCTTCCTTCATTGCAGGCTTTTTCATATATCCAGTTGAAAGAGTGCATGGTTCTCTGATACTGAATCCAAACATGTAAGTTATTTTGAAAACTATAGCTTGTATCATTATAAATGTCCCTTGTTTAATTCTACTTGAAAGAATTGTTTTATGTGTTTTAGAATCATATTTTATAAAGGTTTTGGCAATGGATAAAGTGTCAGTTCCTCTTATGGTTAAAATATACCATAGACAAAAACGGTTATTTAAATTGGCTTGATAATGTCTGGTTGCTGTTTTCTCAAGTGCATTGAAGTTTAGTTTTCCCAGACGTTACTCAATCCACCTTACACTGGCAAAAAAAGATTTCATCTGTTGTTTCTAGTCTTAAAAGTATTCATGCAGAATTCACACTTCTCAATCCCTGATGATGTAGGGCTAGTTATATTCATAAAATAAAATATGTATGTCTTATGATCCAGGCCAGCTGGAGGACAGTATACAGAGTAAAAATTTGAGCCCTGAGCAAATGACACATGATTTCCTGAGTTGGAGCTCTGCTTCTTCAGGTAGGGATTGAGATTTTTAGGTATCTTGTGCATATTCACTGGGAGCCCTACTGGAAAGATATAAAAATAAAATGGAGACAGCAGTAGAAATAACACATTTACATTGGTACATCAGTAATAATATAATGTATTATTGTATAACACCTATGCTGCCTTGAGTAAGTTATGCTCCTGTTTATGCATAGAAAGTCAATGGAATTTATCTGGATTTATGAATGGGAAAATAATAACAGAATCTGGCAGATTTGTAAGGAAGAAATAAAATTTAAGATGGGAACGGCCTCAGGAATCTTTATAGATTTTATGTTCGTGAAGCTGGTAGGCTTTCCTTAAAAATATGCAGTGTATTCTTTCCCTCCTAGTGAGGGAGTGGGGCATGGTGTCAGCCTTTATTCAAAGCTTTTGAATGGTGAGTTTAGCTTATGCAGAAGACTTTATAGTTCAGTCCCTGGCATAGACCCCTGTAGAAAAGTCAAAACTGACTAAGGTAACCACCTGTACTTAAGAAAACACATGTGAAAGGATAAAAAAACTTTGGTAGACTTCACCATTTGGTGCATGGAACATGGGAGGCTGCCATCTTTGAACATGGTGAGAATCGCTCTTTGGTGACTGGTATCTCCTCTTCTAAGTATGGCAGAAAAGTAATCTTGATGTCTAACCCAATGTTTTTGAAGGTCAACAGAAAGGTAACAAAAAATTTGGTACTATATATTGCCCTTCCAAAATAATTATTGAGTTTGTCATATGTGTGAGTTTGCTACTGTCTTATTTTACTAAATAAATAAATATAAGTTATTGGACTGCTCAATTTATTGTGTACTCTTTTGTTTACTGTGTATTATTTTAATGAACAGTTACTATTACTGTATTAACTGTAGTTTAATGGGTTTAATGTTTTCCCGAGTCATTATGTTTGCAGCCCAAATCACAAGTAACTGTTTTTGTTTTCTGTTTTTCAGATTGAAATACAGTGAGAATGTGGCAGATTATGCGGGGAAAAGAATTGGAATTCCTGGGAAGTCATGAGAAGATTGTCATGTTGATTTAAGCAAGTGTATTGTCCATAAAAAATTATTACAACTTCAAATGGATGAAAACGAATCATGGAAGTATCAGAGATTAGGAATGACACTGTCATAAAAAGACCGAGACAAGTGTAGACTGATACAGGCAGTCCTTGACTTACAATATTTTGATTTGCAACATTTCGCACTTACAATGTTTATAAATTGACAACTTGTTTCAATTTTCTGATGTCAGTTTCAACTTTACAACACTTGAGCTGATGCCACGCTACACCAGTGAACAAGTTTTCCGTGTCCCCGATCTCCCTGGAGAACATGGGTACAAACTTCCTTGAACGCTTTCTTTAAGAAAGCCAGCAAGACTCCAAAAAAACTTGAAGCCAAGACTCCTGAGAAGACTCCAGCCAAGAGCCTTTCAAAAAGTCCAGCAAAGTCACCTCAGAGAAGTCCTTCTAAATTAACATGATTCCTATTTACAATATAAATACATGAATGTTGCTATATTACTCTTCTATAATTGATTGAATACAAAATTGTGGGTTATTTTTGGTGAAAATAGGGTATTGAGCCTTGGTTCAGGAACAAATCCCCCATTTATAACATTGTTTCCTTTGGGAAAATCAGTTCTGAGTTACAAAGTTTTGACTTAAGGTGCAATTTTCAGGAACCAATTGTGTCGTAAGCCAGAGACTGCCTGTACTGAATTTGTGTACCATGTAAATAACCAGTGTTATAAGAAATAAACATTGAAAAATAGTCTAGTGAAGGCCACCCATAACATAATAAGAAATAAGTTCTGCATCTGTGAAACACAAAGGGCTTCAAAATTTCTGGCAGCTGCTTTTTATCTCCAGGATGATGGCTTCTCTTGAGCTTCAGATCTAGAAGCAGAATCCCAAGTGTTTGAAGCAGATGTACTTTATTACAAAGTATGCCTGGAAATGTACCTTTGAAGAAATATGACAACACTCTGAAGCAGTCTGTTACCCAAAAAAACCCTCTCTTAAGGATCAGCTTTTGAGAAAGCAAATGAAATTGTGGTGCCTATGTTGAAAGATGGTTATGGTTTCACACTTTCTGAAGTAAGAGATCTCACAAATGATTTGGCAGGTGGTGACATAATAAGGAATAATAAAGTGAAAGTGTGTTTACAGAAGTGCCATGGAAATGGTATATGTTTGAGTTATTCAGATTGCAAAATGAGGCTATAATGCTGATCTAACACCAGATGAAATCATATTAAGCACATCAGAAAAGTAGGTGCATTTAAAACAGCAGCGAAGGACATACAAGAATCCCTTAAGAAAGTAGATTTTGGACTAGAAGATAGGTTCTGTGATTCTGAAGAACTGAGGTCATCTAATATGATGTCCAAGGAACACCAGCATGATCAGTCAGATGATATGTCAGAGAATAGCAGTGATGAAAGTGATGGTAAAGAGTGTGAGAAGGCGACATCTAAAAAACTTTCATATAAAAGCAAATAAATTAACCCTAAATACTAGAGTACTGTTTCAGATCCTATGTTACTCAGTTCATAGTGGCTGGAAAAAGCCCCTTCATATCATGACTCACCATGCAGTATACGATAAATGCAAAAGCAAAGAATTGATTACTGTCATGAACAAGTCATTAGTGTCTATAAGCTACAATGAAATGCAGTGTTTCAGAAAACTGGCAGCATGCACTGTTCACAGCAGAGCTCATGGGGAAACTCCTTTACCTGCTCATTTCAGAAAAGAAAACTTTACACTCAGTTTTATAGATAATTTTAACCATGAAGACCATTCAACAATCAGTGGCATACACAGTTCCCATGACACAGTGACTGTCCTGTTTCAGGTGAATCCTGGTCCTGGGAAGTTTCAGTAAAGTCAAAAATTTCTGAAACTGATGTGGGTAGAAGTGGAACCCATTTAACAAATGAGCTACAGTGCCAGAAAATTTGAGGTTACAGATGAGCACCTACTAAACCTTGTCCACCTGCAGATTTCTGGGATGATAACTCCCTTATAAACTTTGAACACAAAGTTGAATGTGGCAGGGCACTGTTGGTGCATGTCACTTTAAGAATGGAGCCAAGCAGCCAGCAGGTGCTTGATTGCAGCAGCCATTTTAGATCTCTGGCTGCCTATATAAACAGGGCAGTTCATTGCTGGCAGCAGAGGTAGTAACACTGCTTGGCTGCAAGGCTCCATAACATCCTGGAGGCAAGGGCAGGCGCTGTTGGGGATGGCTATGAGGGACCGGGTCCTGGGCATGAGCTAAAACTGCACCCTGCCAGGAGTGGGTGGCCTGGTGGGGTTCTCAGTGGTGTGAGAGCCCCCAGAAGATGCCAGGCTAGTTATCACCCCAGTGAAAGGTGCATAGGGGCACCTTAACCCTAGCCCTTACCTTCAGGTGGGTCACATACCATCAGAGGCAGCTGGGGCCAGGCACAGCTGTGGCCACCTGAGCCCTGTGAGGTGCAAGACCCTGAGGAGCAAGAGTGGGGGCCAAGCATGGCTGCGGCCACCTGAGCCCTGTGGGGTGTAGGACCCTGAGGAAAGCTAGTTGGGGCCAGGCACAGCTATGGCCACCTGACCCCACGAGGGAGGGAAGCCCCATGACCCCAGTGAGGGGGTGGTGTGGGGCCCCAGTGAGGGGATGGAAATGAACCCAGTGAGGGGATGGCCCCAGTGAAGGGGCTGGAGATGTGCAGCCCCAGTGCAGGGGCAGACCCATGTGAGGGGAGTAGCCAAGGTATGTCTTCAGATGCCTGAGGTCACAATTTGGGCCAGAGGCTGAGTAAGGGGGGCTCAGTCTGAAAAATAGGGGTGAGTCCTGATGCTGGTAAGCCTTTCACAACTGGGAGGCCGAGAGTGGGTTGAAAAGAAGAGCTATCATAGAGCACAATGACCTGCTGTTCCAGGAGGTGAGTGAGAGTCCCCGTGAGACCCCGGAACACCAGTTGTGGTGTGAGTTAAGAATGCCCCAGTAAGGGGTGGCCCCAGAAAAGGGGACAGAGATGAGGAGCCCCAGTGTGGGGAGAAGAACCAGAGGGCTGGGAGCCCAGTATGTTTATATGTATATAGTTGCCCCCGGAAGGGGCCAGGGCAAGCTTAAAGCTGGTCAGGTAATTGGCTGGCCACTACCCTGGTGAAGATCATGGGTGAGGTCCAAAAGACAGTACGTTTGCCACCCAAGGTACAAGCTAGGTAAAGCCTATGGCGTAAGGGGCCTGCTCCAAGAGGGAGCAAGGCAGTATGAGCTGTTGAGCACTCAAGTGTGTGAGGCCCTAGTGAGAGGAGGGCAGTATGAATGCATGTGTGACTGAGGCCTGACAACAAGGCCTAAGCTTGGTCCAGCTGTAGGCCGGGAGCACTGTAACATCTGGATGTCATTTGTGAGGCTTGGGCTGTGGTGTAGGGGAGGAATGGAGCCGCAGAAAGTGACCCCTGGCATTGGGGCAAAAATGGGCAGCTTCCTGCCTTAATTAATTAACAACTTAATTAACAACAAGGCATGGCAGGTGAGTCAGGTTGGGGGCGTGCCCAAAGGCAAGTTGGGAAACTAGCACTGTGGCTAGTCGGCGAGCCCCACTCTGCCACATTGAACTATAAGAAAAATCAGAGTTTGTTCGGTCTTTGGTGAAGAATGAGATTCCAGGTGAAAGCTCCATCACTCACACCCACTCCTATATGGGCTGGATGATGTGTTTTATTATTAAGAGAGTTGTCATGTACATTGCTGGGAAGTACCTGCATGGGAGTGATGATCAGGCTGCTTTGGTGGAATGCAGTGTGTTTGGTGTTAAAGTTGTAGAATCAATTACAAAAGATAGCCACTATGTGAGGTCATTCAAGGGACTTCTCATCTTGTCAGAAGTCATGCAAAAATGGAAAATGGAATACCTTCTGGAAAATCACTCCCACTTAGAAGTATTCTGCAGTACTCAAAAATGCATGAAAAACTGAGGAGACTTCTTACAGATGAAGATGGAAAGACATCTCAGGATACCTATGAAAACCTTTTACTGCTGAGTGATTAATGATCTCTATGAAGATTACAAGGCTTTTAATGCTTCCTGTCAGGTAAAATCTGAAATGTGGAAGTATTGAAATGGTTTCATTGAGCTAGTTCAGATGTTCAAAAATCTGGTAGCTGCTGATAGATAAGGTGATTAGGAATCACATCTTCAAAATGTACAGGACCTCCTCCCTACGTTTAGAGGATTTGACAGGATTCATTACTTGCACTGTGCATCTTAGTACCTTGAAAATATGAGAGATCTCCAGGTGCAACATGCAGATGTGTACTAAAAACTTTTAGATGGATATTTTGTTGGCCGACAACAGAATAGGTTGTTCTGTGCAGTTTCTCCTGATATGAAGTTGCAACACACTACTCAGAGATCTCAAAAAGGTCCTGGACAGACTGGGCAACAAAAATATATTAATGAATGGGAACTTCTTTATCATGAAATTCTCACAATCAGCAATACATTCTGAAAATTAACAGGGTCTGACAGAACGAGATATTATGAGACTGTAACAAGTGGATGTCCTGGGGCTGGCCCAATCTTTGGCCCGCCCACATGTCTATGAGCTAAATGCCTGCCTACCTCTCCTGCCACGTCTTAGTTGGTATCAATTAGAAGATGTCAATAAAGCAGGAGGCTGCCCATTTACTTGCCCAGATGCCAAGGACCTATATACATGGCTCCAACCTTCTGTATATCATGTTCCATGCCTTGCAGATAGCATCCTTGACCTAACACGTGGCCTCTATGCCCAGTCCCTCACATTGTGATCCACACTCCAGAGTCTTGCATGGGATTCTCACTCCCCACTGGAGCTCGCAGTCACTGTGCCTTCACACTAGGATTTCCTTTAATCCTTTAGGGCTCCCAGCCCCTATCTACTTAGGACTCTGTGCCCTTACCAGCTCAGGGTTCCGAGGCCAGCTCTAGATTCTCTCAGTCCCCCCATGCCCCCATACTGGGGCCCCCATCCCCTGCCCTACAGCTTCCCCCCACTTCTTTCTCTCTTC